ATTGTGTTTACTGATGACTATTGATAGCCAAATTGCTCTGATTTCTTATCAATATTGGGGGGGAATATGATCTATTTATAACTAGCAATTGGCATAAGGGAGTGATCACCTTTATATACAGAGGTCCCATTTATCCAGAGTAATCAGTAACAGAAAAGCAGGCTAATATTAGTTTCAATCAATGTCTTTTACTGTATTTTATGCACATTCAAACATTATACAAACACACACACAATTATAAAAAGCTAAGAAACTTAGAGAGATTGGGATAGCACATTCACTTTAGCAGGAGTTGTGTTGGTTAGGCAATACTTTAACCTGATCCTGAAGAGATGAGGTCTTCCAAATGGAAAAATATGGAAATGCTAGAAAAATGGGGACTAAGCTAAGAAAAGGGATTGTGCTGACTGAACAAGCAGAAAGCACCCTCTCCACGCTCCATCCCTCACATCTCCAGGAATTTCCCACCTGGAGTTGGCAACCCTATCTTCCTTCCCATCCAATCATCAACCTACCTTTATTTCCCCCTCACTCTTCAGCTTTCCAACCCCCCCCACACCTGCAGCCTCTCCCGTGCTCTGAAGCCCTGACTGCTACATCACATTGGCTGTCATACTGGGTCCACCATTTTCTCCAGGGGAACTGATCTCTACCATCTGGAAAGCAGTTGTAATTCTGAGTGATCTCCAGCCCTCACCTGGAGATTGGACACATTTTACCTCAGAACAGCAAACTGTTTAGAATGTTAGAGGCAAAAGCCAATCAAGTTGCATATGCAAATGACCTCTGTGTTCCGAGGCAAAGGCCAATGAGGCTGCATATGCAAATAACCTCTGTATTCTGACTGGCTATGAGGGGGGAGGGGAACAGCAAACTGTTTAGAATATTGGAGGCAAGACTCAAGCAACACAGCCAGTGGATAGGGACAGATTCTGAGTGACACACCAGGGCGCCAACCAATTCTGGAGCGTGTGGAATGTTCTAGAGAAGTGCCACCACCATTCAGCTTTTATATATAAGGGAGATGTTTCTATCTGAAGAGGAAAGCGGAAGGTCATAAACATTTTCACAATCAGCCAGTCAGACTGGGAGGATGCTTTGAAGGAAAAAGAAACCTTAATCTGAGAATTAGTGTTAGCATAAAACTGAGTAGTAAATCCCCAGACCACAAATTCAAATGCCATTTGTATGAACTCAGGAGATAGCATTAGGGAAACAAATAATTTCATTGTCAGCTTCCCACATTAACACCTTACACCAAACCTATAAAGATTACTGTGGTAAACTATGTGAAGAATTGTATTCTTATGGAGAGAACCAGTCTGGTTACTTAGAAGAAGTGTTCAGAGCCAGACCTGGCTACAAATCCCTGATATGCCATAGATGTAGTAACTTGTTGTTTATGTATTCTCTCAGTCACAGTTGCATACACTATACAACAAAGGCAGTATGACTGGGAACCTACAAGGAAGTCATAGAGGGTAAGTTTGGGCGTCCCCCTCTTATAAGTTCCTTGTGGGACTCTGGATAGGCCAGGGTAGGGTTGTTGACTGCCTGCAGAAAACAACACTTAATAACAGCAATGGCAGCCATAAAAGAACAGAAAATAAAATTAATAAAAAGCAATTTAAGAAACTGTTCATAAAACTAGCAGTATATCAAACCAATACAGCAGTGAATCACAAAACAAACATAAAAATAGCAGCCTATCAGCAATAAAATCAACACAGAGCAGAAGTGAATAGGTAAAGAAATAAAACCTTCAAAGGCCCTCCAAAACAAGACAGTCTCAGGAGGGTAGCCGTGGTGGTCTGCAGAAGAAGAGCTAGACTGAAGTCCTTTAGCACTTTAAAGACCAACAAGATTTTCTGGGTATAAGCTTTCAAGGATCAAAGATACAAGTAGGAATGGAGACCCCTGTGTCCTAATATCTCAGGGAGCTGGAGGCAAAGGTACAATGCAAAATGTAATCAGCTTGATTACAGCAGGGGAGAAATACTTAGGGGCAGCAGAAAACCTGTGTATGGAGATAATAATTCTATGTCTTTATTCAACTCTTGGAAGAGGGGTGTTCCATCTTGCCTTGTAATCTCCCCTTGAAGCTTCTCTGGAAAGCTAGAAGTGGGACAGGGAAATCCACAGTCCTGAGGGCAGAAAAAGCCACAAGCTGGTTTGGAGCGTTCGGCTTGGGTGTCACCAATATGCTGATGACACCCAGCCAGTTTGGCGTAGTGGTTAAGTGTGCAGACTCTAATCTGGAAGGACCGGGTTTGATTCCCCACTCCTCCACTTGCACCTGCTGGATGACCTTGGGCAAGCCATAGTTCTGGCACAGCTGTTCTTGAAAAAGAACTGTTTCTGTCAGCGCTCTCTCAGCCCCACCTACTTCAAAGGGTGTCTCTATTGTGGGGAGGGGAAGGGAAAGGAGTTTGTAAGCCGCTCTGAGACACCTTTGGGTAGTGAAGGGCAGGGTATAAATCCAATCTTTTCTCTTCTTCTTCTTCTATATCTGCTGATGGGTGGCCACCCAGACTCTGCCCCCAAAAATCTGACCGAGGGTTTGGAGTGGGATGGTTAAATCCAACTAAGACGGAGGTTCTGTAGCGGGGGGAGGGTGTGACTCAGGATTGGGGAGCCAACTTCCCACCTTGACAGGGTGCCTCTGACACCAGCACCTACCATCAGGATTCTGTGGGTGATCCTGGACCCCACTTTATCTATGGAGGCCCAAATTGCCAATGTTGTCCAGTGGACATTTTTCCAACTGCGCCAAATCAGACAACTGGCCCCCTATCTGTCTCGCCCTGATCTTGCCACAGTAATCCATGCAACAGTCACCTCCAGGCTGTATCACTGTAACTCACTTTACATAGGGCTACCCTGAAAACTGATCTGTAGCAGAGTGGGTCCCTATGGGGACCGCACAGAGGACACACGTACATCCAGTGCTGTGCAAACTGCATTGGTTGCCAGTGGAGCACTAGATCAGATTCAAGCTTTTGGTGTTTGCTTTTAATGCCCTTAATGGTCAGGGGCCTATGTACCTCCAGGACTACCACTCTGGTATGTCCCCTGAAGGGCATTAAGATTAGCAGACAAGAACCTTCTGGTGGTCCCTAGCCCAAAAGATATTCGGCTGGCCTCAGCGAGGGCCTCCTCTGCCCTGTCTTCAGGTTAGGGGAACTCTCTGCTCTGCGTATACTTACACAGTAGGTTTTGTTAAGGTTACATTAAATAAAAATAGAAGCATTCCCAAGTTAAAATACAGAGAGTTTTTCAGATTGCCTTTTAATTAAGGTGGCCCCGCCAAATCTGCTGGGAATTTGGGGCACAAGGGGTGTGTAACCGGAAGGCTTGCCAGTATCGGCACCAATGCCCCTTGTGCACTGGCCCACACCCTTTCTCAGCATGCTTCAAGGGAAAACCGCATAGGGGTCGCAGACGACCAGAAAGTAAAGGACCCGGGCAGGTGCCTGGAAAGGGGGCCAACGCCCATAAGGCTGAGAGTGCTTGAGACACTGTTGCATAGTTACCCACAATGCACCGATAGTTTATATTTGTTGAAAGGGTTTTCACAAGGTTTTCGTATTCCTTTTAAAGGCGAGAGGGTTCCCTTTATGGCACGCAACTTACGGTCCATTCAAGGTTTAGAACATGTGGTTAGGGATAAGATCGCGAAGGAGTTGCAGGAGGGATGGGTCCTTGGACCTTTTCCTTCCCCTCCAGTCCCCAACCTTCAGGTGTCTCCACTAGGAATTGTGCCCAAGAAAGCGCCTGGGGAATTTCAGCTTATTCATCACCTCTCCTATCCCAGGGGCAGTTCTGTTAACAATGCCATTCCTGAAGATTTGTGCTCCATCCGGTACACTTCCTTTGATCAAGCAGTGCGCATTGTGCGTGGCTGCGGCAAAGGAGCGGAGATGGCAAAATGCGACTTTAAGTCGGCATTCTGCCTCCTCCCAATGCATCCGGAGGACTTCAAACTTTTAGGGTTTTGTTTTGAGGGGCAGTTTTACTTAGATCGGGCCCTGCCCATGGGCTGCTCTGTCTCCCGCACCACTTTCGACCACTTTCGAGCTCTTTTCTGGAGTGGGCTCCATTTGAAGTAGCACCAGAAGATGCAAGTAACTTTTCTCAGACGAAACTAATTGATTTGAAAGTCAAGTGATCATCCCAGAGTCATTTACAAAGAAAATTAACATACTATTTTCTTTGTAAATGTCTCTGGGATGATCACGACTTTCAAATCAATTAATTTCATCTAACAGATTTCTATTCTGGTCTACCTGATATATTTATCAGCTTAAAGAAATTTGCTGCAGGCATGTTCATGGTCTTTGGCACCACATATATATGTGAACAAACTATTCCCATGATGAACATTGTGAGATCCAAGGGTAGGTCAAGACTTACAGATGAACATTTACATGACACTTTAAGGGTGTCTGTCACAAACCTAGACTTGGACTTTAATGTCTTGGCTAACAGAAAACAGCCACAAAAATCACACTGACTAGGTAAGCGTGCACAGATAGATTAAAAGGTTTCACATTGAAATATTGTTCCCAAATAGATTGCATTCAAGTTAATGTTTCTTCATTTACCTCTAAAAGTTTACTTTTGATCTAAATAGGCAGGTTAATAATTTTGTTACATTTTGATTTAAGATGCAGCCCTCTTTAGGCATTGGGCACTTTGATGTGGCCCCCATGTGCCAGAACATTGGGGACCCCTGTGCTAAAGCTTGGACAGAGTACATTCCGAAGGGAAAGAAGGATTTGTTAGAGAGGAGTGATTGTGAAGAGAAAGAGAGTGACAACTTAGTTAGAGGTTATTATCACCTACCATTTTATTTAATGAAGAGATGTTACTTAAGATGATGAAAAGAATACACTTCTTGTACAAATAAAGCTTTATTTTGTTTCATGAAAACCTGGAGTCATATGCTATTACAATAAAAGACTCTCATCCTCAGGACCACATAGTTCAACAAAGGGGCCTTAGAGCTTGGGCACAATTCTATGGGAAAGGTTAAATAATAAGATTGGAATTAAATCCCTGGTGGCCGCATTACACACCCAAAGAGAAAGAGAAATAATGAGTTAAAGACACACTTTATCTAACCACATAACACACACACACACAAAGAAAGAAGTGAGTAGTCGTGACAGAGGTCATAGTGTAACTGCTCGCTGTACTAGGGAGGGTAGTAGGAAATGTGGAAACAAGGACAACTGTTCTTGCTATATTGGATGCTTCTCCAACATTGTTGCTGTCATCAATGCCACGAATTGCAAAGTAGATGGTGGTGCCATTTTCTTTTGTGAAGTTTTCAGGCTTAAATTGAAAGGATTGTTTGATCCCTGCAAACTCAGTTGTCAGACCAGATGTGTTCACAGAAATGGCTGTATGAAAGGTAGCATCTCTTAATTCCAAGGGATTTTTACTCATTTTTATTTCATATCTTTCCACTGCAAAATAAAACATACATGACTCATAGGCATTAGAAATCTATAATTTAAGTCAAAGACTAAATTATAATTATCAAATAATAGACCCTATCAGTGGGTTTCAAACTTCTTGTGCTCAGGGAATGTTTCCCAAGAAAAAAAATCCAGAGTTTACTAGGAGTGCCCCTCTTCCCCTTGATGATGTTTTGATGAAACCATGACAAGTAGAAGGAAGCTGCTACTCCCTTAGTTCTCTCCATGCCACCACTGGAGATACCAAGAACCTAAGGTTTCAGAGAGTTCAAAGACGGGGTAGGAGGGAGAGGTGGGTACCTGTACAGAAGACCATTTGATGAACAACAGCTATAGGTAAGTGCCACCCTGTTTTCTTCATTGTGGTTTCTGTACAGTCCCACACTGGGAAACTAGCAAGCTTGCTTACTGGAGACAGGTGTGAAACTAGAGACCAAGGAGGACCGCATTCCCAATATTTGCTTATAAAGGAGGAAGGGCTGCTCTACAAAAGTCCCAATTAAAATACCATGCAGGAATGTGATGGGGAAAACAAACAAGAGAGAGCCAAGATAGGTAAAGGACACTGAACATTCATGTACCCAGAATAGAGTTTGATAGTGTGTGCCAACCCACAATAGGTTCTGTGAGACTGTACACAGGACTTTCCTGGAGACTGAATGACCAACACAAAGAAGGTCCATAGTAGACAGAACAGATAAGAAAATTTACATCTAAGGTATGTAAGAAGTGCTCTGCTGTTCAGACTCAGAAATAATACCATTAAGATAGTGTTGTAAGACATAAGAAATTGAGAGACAACCCCAGGAAGGGAATCCTGGTCAGGGAACTGGACATCATGTGAATTTTCATGAATAGGGAGACGTAGGTTAGAACCCACAATATGCTCATTCCATAGGTGGAAGTGCTGCATAGCGTCACAGTATTATAATGGGTTGGATCCAAATAGCTTTTTTACTTGATCTCATCCAGTTCTCCTACAGGCCCTATCCCACATGGCTTTCTACATACAGGAGTTAGGATCCCTGGAATAATGTTTTTCGTGGTCAAAGAGGATGCCCTCCTCCCTTTTTCAGCAGAAATAAAATTCGTTGATCCAACCCAATGTCAATGCCAGGTGTCAGGATGGACATGCCTGCCTCCTTTGCTGGATTCATTCAGGGGATGGACAAACAGGAATGGGGAAGGCGGGATCCAAATAGATTAATTTGCACCAGGCCCTACAGACCCCTAGGGATGGTTTTGGCAACTTATCAGAGCCCTCTGCTTAAAGCAAAATTTCATACCTTTCCCAATATCATAGTCATTCCCAGGAGCTGTCCAGGACAAAAGGAATTCATCATCTTCTAACTGCGCTTCAAGGTCAGTGATTTTACAGGGTGGAAAGACATCTGGAGGAGGACTTGAACCGCTTGGAGGAGCTCCTGCCAGTACAAAAGAACCTCCTGATGCAATTCTGCTGAAATTTCCAATGTCTGGTTGGATTTCATCCTCACTGACTTCAGGTCTTGGCGTGTTCATTTTTATTACACCTATCAAAAAAGTCCAAAAGAGATGTATTTTAATGTGTGACAAGAAGTGAGTTTCTAAACCATCTCATTAATCTGATAGCCTTTATTTGCTTTTGCACATAAGGTCTTTGAAGATAATAAGACAAAAAAGTCTAATTGTTTCCCTTTTTAATCTATAACTCTCTCTCTCCTGTTGCATATTCTATCCCTTGGCTCTCTCATCTCCTGTGATTTTAGTTTATTTAGTTATATTTTTCAGTATCCTGGCATTCCTCCAAGGAGCTCAGGACAGTAAGCACTATTCTCCTCCCACCCGGCATTTTATCCATATAACAACACAGTGAGGTAGGTTAGGTTGTTTGAGCATGACTGGCCTAAACGCACGGCAAACTGAGAATTTGGAACCTTGGGCCTCCTAGATGCCAGTCCTGCACTCTAATCACTACACCACACTAGCTCCGTATTTTATAAAGACAACTAGCAGTAAAGCCCGTTGTGGAAATAAATACAACGAGATCTAGAAAGAGGCTCTGGGGGAGTGCTCTGGCTTTGGGTAAACAGTGTCATTTTGCTGTGGTGACCTCAGCAGGGTATAATGGCAGAGTCCACTGTTTTCTCCAGAGGAACTGATCTCTGCTCCCTGAAGAGCAGTTGTAATTTTGAGTGATCTGTAGCCCTCACCTGGAAATTGGCAACAATTGTTACCCAGGATGAAATGGCTGGTTTGGAGGGTGGAGTCTATGGCACTCTACCTGTCTGATGTCCCACCCCTCCTCAAACCTCACCCTCTTCAGGCTCCATCCCTCCAATCTCCAGGAATTTCCCATCGGGAGTTGGCAACCCTATCAGGACTTGCCCCAATGTGTTTTCTCCCAAAGGCCAAAGTAGGTGACAGGACCAAGCTTAGTTGCCTACCAACAGGCACTGAGGGGAAAGTAGGGTTGCCAGCTATAAGGAGGGAAATACCTGGAGTTTTGGGGGGTGGATTCTGTAGAAGGCAGCATGGGGGGGGCGGAAGGACTCAGCAGGTATAATGTCATAGGGTCTACAACTGACATTCCAACTGCCTTGCGGGGAGGGGGGTGAGTTTGAGGTGTGGAATGCAGTGAAGTCCAATCAGCTTCCATATGCAAAAGACCTTGAAGGTTCCATATGCAACTGACATTCCAACTGCCTTGCGGGGAGGGGGGTGAGTTTGAGGTGTGGAATGCAGTGAAGTCCAATCAGCTTCCATATGCAAAAGACCTTGAAGGTTCCATATGCAACTGACATTCCAACTGCCTTGCGGGGAGGGGGGTGAGTTTGAGGTGTGGAATGCAGTGAAGTCCAATCAGCTTCCATATGCAAAAGACCTTGAAGGTTCCATATGCAACTGACATTCCAACTGCCTTGCGGGGAGGGGGGTGAGTTTGAGGTGTGGAATGCAGTGAAGTCCAATCAGCTTCCATATGCAAAAGACCTTGAAGGTTCCATATGCAACTGACATTCCAACTGCCTTGCGGGGAGGGGGGTGAGTTTGAGGTGTGGAATGCAGTGAAGTCCAATCAGCTTCCATATGCAAAAGACCTTGAAGGTTCCATATGCAACTGACATTCCAACTGCCTTGCGGGGAGGGGGGTGAGTTTGAGGTGTGGAATGCAGTGAAGTCCAATCAGCTTCCATATGCAAAAGACCTTGAAGGTTCCATATGCAACTGACATTCCAACTGCCTTGCGGGGAGGGGGGTGAGTTTGAGGTGTGGAATGCAGTGAAGTCCAATCAGCTTCCATATGCAAAAGACCTTGAAGGTTCCATATGCAACTGACATTCCAACTGCCTTGCGGGGAGGGGGGTGAGTTTGAGGTGTGGAATGCAGTGAAGTCCAATCAGCTTCCATATGCAAAAGACCTTGAAACGCTGGGCGGGACTGCACAAAGCAGCCAGTCAACCCAGCCAGCGTCTTCTAACTGACAGTTCAAGCGTCCATACACTAAAGGGGCCAAATTTAGAATGTTCATATAGAATGTTCTTACTCAATTATATATAAGGAGAGATATGGATGATATCTCTCTGGTCTATTTCTCACTGCTATTCTTTATCTTGTATCTAGCATCCAGTCCAGATATAATTCTTCCTGAAATACTAGAACAGGATCCGGACTGGTGGGTTGCCCACTTAGCATCTTTTTACAATGATTGATATAATTGGTCTTATTCCTGATGCATGGTTAAATGCAAGTGTAGTCCTGGTCTATTAAAAAGGTGATTGTACCATGCCCTCTAACTACAGACCAATCAGCCTGTTCTCTGCAATGGGCAAACTATACACCAAGCATTTACTATCAAAGCTTATCCTTTGGATGGCACAGCAGAGAGTTTTGGCCTGGAACAGCTAGGATTTTGTAAAGGGAAAGCTACTTTAGATGACCGTACCATCTTATTCCATTTGATCAATAAGTATACCAAAAGATGTAACACAAAATTACACATTACTTTTTTACATTTTAAGGGGGTATTTGATTCAATTGACAGGGAACTCCTTTGGGCCAAACTACAGCAGTAAAACATACACAAGAGACACTTCAATCTTATAAAAAGTTATATACTTCTACTACTTGTCAAATTAAATACTCATTGGCAGGGGAATTAACTCCAAAAATCCCTTTCAATAAAGGAGTCAAACAGGGCTGTATATTAGCTCCCTTTTTATTTAACCTGTTCCTTAATGATCTCACTCCCTATCTAGTAGCAGTTAATGGTCATTATCTTAAATTGGGCTCTATCCACGTCCCTCTGCTATGATATGCCAAGGATGTGGTATTACTGTCTTGCTTCAGAGTTGGCTTAAAATGCTTACTGAAAAGATGCCTGCTGTTCTTTTCAACTAATAAACTACCCTTGAATTACAAAAAATCAAAAATACTTGTTTTCTCCAAAACTTGGAAACCATCCAAATGGATAATTGGAGGAAAAGTGATTGAACAGGTTAAACATTTTAGATATTTAGTCCTGCACTTTCAGTATAACGCATCTTGGTCTACACAACACGTCAGCAATAAATATGGCAAATATCAGTGCCTCAGCCGTTTCCTGATTCTTTTATAGCAGAGGCAATCAATTCATACCAGCTGCATTGAAAGTCTTTATGGCCAAAGTAACTTCCCAACTTTTATACTGTTAGCCGAATTGCTTTATTTCCAGCAATTGGCAATTTATAAATGGGTCCTTGCCAACTATACCAAGGTCCTGTCCCCACCAAGGGTTACCAGAGAAGGATAACAAGGCTGTTGTTGTTAAAATAAATGTCTTTTACTTAAAGAATAAATCTCATACAAACAATACTGATGCACTCACACATTCAATCAAGTTCCTTAGAAATACAGTATTAAAATAAGCACTGTTGCATTAGCAGGTGGAGGTGATGATGCGCAATACTTATCTGTCTTCGCAGCTTGGTTGTTCCAATGAAGAATGGATGGGAAGAAATAGAAATCTAAGGGAGTTTACACACGACCAGAACCAGCCGGAACGTGTGGGTCTCTTGACTGCAGATCAAGAGATCAGTGTTCTAGTCGGGGACTTCCGGCCACGGCGGCACGAATGGCGACCAGCTCTCGGGATGCTCCCGGAGCCAGATCGCCCACACACAGTTTGGGGGGGGGTCCCGCATAAGCGGAGATCCTGAGGAGCCTTAGTGAAAAGGCTCCGAACCAGGGGGCGCTTAGGGGAGAAGCCTCTTGCCGGCCAGAAGTTCAGGAATTGAGGCTCTCCCTCTGCCCCAAACGGCCCCTGCTGTGTCGTGCCCCACATGGGGACTAGCAACGCCACCGGAACAGCGGAGTGATGGAGCATTAAAGTAAAGCCAGAAAAAAACAAGATAAGCGAATAACTGTGAGTTGGTGATTAATTCTGAAGCGGTGGCATAAGCGCGCTCCATCCCCCGGGAGATCGAGAGGGAGGAGGGAGGATTCCCCCCCCCACCGGAGAAAGAGACTTTTTAAAAGTGGAAAAGGGGGACGAAGCGAAGATTGGCTAAAGCGCATTACCTTTTGGGAGGGAGCTGGAAGCGGTGAAGAGGGAGACATCCCTAAGTGGCGTAGCATGAACTTTTAAACTGTAAACAAAAGCGGAAAATGGCGGGGCAGAAAAAGTTGGTGGAGAAGCAGACAAAGAAGACGGGAGGGACTCCCTGTCCGAGCCCTGCCCTTGCTGGGGCTGCTGTCAATCAACAAGAAGGTGATCTTTTGCGCCATCTGCTGGAGGAACTGCAAAAAATCAACCAAAAGCTGGATAGCATGGAAAGTGCCTATAGTGTTCAACAGAAGAAAATGACAGAGACAGCTGACAAGGTAGATGATATTGCAAAGAAGTGTCTGGCATCAACAGAAGAAATACAGAAAGTTAAGAAGAAGGTCATCAAAGTGGAAAAACATCAGGAGAAACAGGACAATAAATTATTATTGCTTCAAATGGAGAAATCAAACCTGACTCTTCGATTTCATAATGAAGAGAAAGGAATATAAAGGACTGACCATATTCTTACAAAGTCATCAAATTAGTTACAGATGGTTGGTGCCAGAGGGACTGGTCCTTAAGTTTAAAGACAGAAGAGAAAAGATAGACTCTATCTTTAAGGCTCAAGACTTTTTGAAGAGGCACGCCAGTGCAGAAGAGGAGACAGAACTTGCCAAGTGGATGTCGGGAGCTAGCGGAGAAGACAGCAGTTTGGAGGAAGAGGTGAAAGACGAGGAAGCCAAAGGAGCGACTGGCCCAAAATACAATTTAAGAGACAAAAAGGGGAAATACCCCAAAGTTTGAGGACTAGCTCGAGCAGCGCCTTACAGTACATATTAATCCCAAAAGGACTTTACTAACATGCTAAATGCGCAATTTTAAAGAATCCAGAAGAAAAGAAGATCGTCCAACTGCAGAAGATGCTATTGACTTTAACTTTAATACTAAAAGATTAACATACTAATACTTAACATCACTCAACACTTTTCTTTATCCCTCTATAGACCCTTCCTAATTTCTTGAACTGTAAAAGCAAAATTTCCCTCCTTTTTAGGAGAGGGAAATAAATAAATAAATAAAAAGAGATCAAAGTAGAGGCAAGGGTTTGGGGATAGCAAGTGGGACTCAAGAGGAGTAAAAAGCAGACAGGGGTTGTTGCGGGGGTTGCTAGCTAGAAAGGGCCAGATGAATGGTCCTTACCTTTTATAGTGGATCCATTAGGTGGGTGGTAACTGTTCCAACCTGTGGACCCACCTACCTGTTAGTCCGTCCCAAAAACAATCCTATTGATTGCCTATAGGAGTGGGAGGTTACCTATAAGGAGTGGTCAATATTGAAATCTAATACCTTACTCAGAGAAGGGCATCTGGGCAGGTGTGAAAACCTTGGCATCAGGATGCTTCATTGTAGTGTAGCTGAAGCTGGCCATTCCATTGTAAACCAAATGTTCATTTGGCAGGAAATACCAATGCAGGAACAAATCAGTGATGGGTAGTACGTGACTACAACTATTTCTGCAATGGGGGCTGTCTCTTCTCAAGCTGTTGTTTCTTACTGCTCACAATAATGGAGGTGTGTGCTTCTTCACCAGGCTGGTAACTGTGTAGCTTAAACCTTATTTACGTGTAAGGCTTGTGCAGGCACCTTCTATGTGTTGCATCACAATGGATTACTTAAAATGTACAGTTCTTTGAGCCTATGTGTGTGTGTGCACAGTCCATTGTGTGTAGTAATAAATATAAGTCCATAAAGTAAAATATCAAGTTCATTCTCTAACAATATAGTATCCTGATATGGATCAGTGCATTTGAAGAAGAAGAGGAGATTGGATTTACACCCCGCCCTTCACTACCCAAAGGTGTCTCAGAGCGGCTTACAGACTCCTTTCCCTTCCCCTCCCCCTCTCCACAACAGACACCCTGTGAGGTAGGCAGGGCTGACAGAGCTCTTGACAGAAACTGCTCTTTTTCAAGAACAGCTCTTATCAGAGCTATGGCTTGCCCAAGGTCATCCAGCCAGGTGCAAGTAGAGGAGTGGGGAATCAAACACGGTTCTCCCAGATTAGAGTCAGCACAACCACTACACCAAACTGTGTCATTGAATGTGTGCAGTCCACATTTCTGTGGAAAATCATGAGAATGCCTCATTGTGTGGCATACACAGCCCTATGTAGAATCCAGATTAAATCTTTTGGAAACAAGAGTGTGGCTCTTGATAATAAAATATTGGCTGAATCTGCATTACAACATGGACCTAGGGAGCCTTATACAGCAAACGCTCTCAGAGTCAAATATGTCCAGTTGGTTAGCATGCATCAAGAAAACATAACTGTCATGGATATACCATTGGATTTGCTGTTTATGCTCCCATTTATAGGCACATATCAGGTGATTAAGCACAGAGTTTTTGATATTGAAACTCAAAGACTATTTAGTTTAGCCAACTTTAGGTTGAGTGGCCCCATACCTATCTGCTTTATAAGTACCACAACAATGCAGAGCCTTTCTTTTGCCAGATTCAACATTATGTTATCTGCGATTTTACATGGCAGATATAACAAGATTGCATACTTGGCTAGATATTGTTACTGTAACTTTAGATGTATTGAGACAATTTCACATGTATTTTATTGTTACTTTTATGTAGATATACATCTCAAATATCTAAATTCTATCCTAGCTAATATGAAGGGCCTTCCAGATGCTCTAAAGGTACATCGCCTTTTGAATCATGCCTCACCTGAAATAACAAAGAAGGTAGCTATGTTTTTACAATAAGCTATAAAGCTGCTCCAGGAAAAGCTACAGAAGTAATGATATGATGCATTTTATAAAATTATGTATTTTGTAATATGGCTCCCATTTTTTACTCTTCTCTATGTATATTATTGTTTATGGAGGTATTATATGCCAATAAAGGCTAACTGACTGAATTATTGTACCTAGATGCTTGACATCTATTTGTTTATGAATATCAAATCATCAATTAAAAATTATAATTCAGGAACCTGAATTAGTTGTTTTCTGTAATCTTTTCCCTCTTGTTCTGTCTCTGTGCGAATCCACAAATCTGCAATCTTAGCATCATCTGTGATTAGACTATTTCTTTTCCTCAGATTTCTACTGTTCCTAAAGCTTGCTTATTTTGTTACTCAGAACACTTACAAAATTCTCTGATCTTTAATGGATGATGCTGTAAACATGAATGTTTTGTCTCATTTCTAAAATTAATTATTGCAGCTTTCATCTGCCTGGTCTTCCTGTTTTTTCTCTTCAGTCTTTTAAAAAAAATAATATCTTGGGGGGGTATTTTTGTGTTTGTATGTGTGCCCATTCCTGGAAGTCATGGCGACCTCTGGCGACTCCTACTGGGCATGGAGGACATTCACAGAGAAGTGGCCTCTGCCTCCCAACGCTGGCATTCTTTGGAGGTCTCTCATCAAGTACTTGCCAATGTGGGCCCTGCTTAGCTTCTGAAATCTGATAGGATCAGGCTTGCATAGGCTATCCAGGACAGGGTGCTTCTCTTCAGTCTTAACATCTGCTGTGAACTCATCTAACCTTTTCACCTGTTGCTGGAATTGTTCCTCTCCTTTGTATATCTGTTCACCTCAGCAGGATTAAATTTAAATTTCTCCTACAATTTTTCAAATGTCTTCAAGCTGTTTTTGCTATATCTTTTTTGGGGGGGGTTCTGTCTGTGTTGTTGTTTTACTGGTTCATCTTAAAATATGTCTTGCATCCATCACCATGTTTTACAATTAATTTGTAAACATTTTCTGGTCTTCAAATTTTAGACTTTTGTTCTTTTCCAACATCCCCTGAAATGTCTTTTCTCACTCTGTCCTTTGTATTTCACATCCAGGCTGCTGAATAACTTGTGCCCATTATTGTGTGGTATTTTAGGCAGAAATCCAAAGCAGGTCTACACTCTGTCGTCTGGAGATGAGCTGTAATTCAAGGGGATCCCCAGGTCCCACTTGGAGGCTGGCATCCCCAATGGAAATACATGGTGCTTCTGAGTTTGTTGCTTAGTGGCACATACAGCATAGCTTCTATCATGATATTTATGAGAAATTTTATATTGTTCTGGGAAATAGTTTTCCTGTACTTCTCATCTCCAGCACACTCAATTTGGAAGTGTCTAGTCTCTAAAGAAGCAATCCTGATAAACTTTATTCAGAAGTAAATCTCATTTTATTCAGTGGGGCTTACTCCCAGGAAGGTGATCTTAGGACTGCAGTTCTACACTCCCATATCACAATAACTTCCAATTTGTTTCTTTTGCTTTCAGCTTATTCCTACAGATCCACTGTCCACCAGAAGCAGTATTTCAGGGAGTGATATAGGGCTACAGTGGGAGGTGGAGGTGAGAAATTCATACTTCTACTCGTCATGGAGGAAATCCCTTCTGCCTGTGGAAATTTATGATAGATCCAAGCATATAACATTTTCTCACTATAGACAAATGGAGGCCATCTTCTCATTCACACATACACTCACACCAAACCATATGGCAACCTCTTCCCTGTGGTACTATAACAGGCAGCTGTGATGCGTGTACATGAACAACATTCTTTGCATGCAGGTCTAATCACATGTGTACTTCTCACCAAATGGGCACTCCACACGATTCCATATTTTGTAATACTCACAGTTTCAGAGTTTGGCAACTTGACCAGTGAGAAGACAACTTGACCAGTGAGAAGTTTATGTCTCCATAGAGAAATGTACATCACGTTTCGTGTATTGTTATTAGAAGATAACACCCATTCCTTTACATTTTACATAGACAACAATGTTATTTCACAATGAATTCTTACCATTTTCTACATATCCTGGCACATACAGAGCTTGACTATATCTACGGACACGTCTGACAGTCTTATCTTTCCCTTGGACACGTATTTTTATGTTGTATCTTCCATCTCCATTGAAAGATGTGAAATACCTTGAGTAGATTCCATCATTCTTGAAAATATCAGGACCTTGATATAGTAAATATTAAGAAACCTAAATAAAAGATCTTGCTGCTTATTAAAGACCAATAATACAGTAAGTTCATGTCATCTACTTGCATTTTCATAGATAAAAATTGAATTCTGAGAGGTCATGTGTTTGATAATCTATTAATATACATTAATGTATTAATATTTGTGTCCACTGCTATTTGTTGCAATGATAACCAGTGTGTCCCACCAAGTTGGATGTGCACTAAGATTTGTTATGGGCTGGCAATGCTTGGACAAACCATATGTATCTACTAGGCTTTTTACAGCTAAAGAACACTGTCCAACACAGTAAGTGAATAGCGCAAGAAAGGTCAGTGAATCTATGCTGTCAGGCAGTGCCCATATTGGGTTGAACTCCTGGGCACTGGGTCCCCTCTAGCATCATTTTGCAGGGACATTCAACAGCCTCTGTATCTAGAGATGATGGGGTCACCAGGGGTCTTCTCTCCAACTCTGGGACTTTCCACAATAAGCTGAAGAGCATCTAGGCACCTTCTCCTTGTCACTGCTGGAGCTGTTGTTGGCTTCCCTCCTAACATTATCACTGCCCCTGCTGGGACTGCCCCTGCCATCTGGTCTAGTAGCATGAAGGGACCAAGAATATCAGGCCATTTGGGCAGCTTTGTTTCCCCCCCACCACCACCGCCAACCATGAGTACAAGGAGGTTTTCATCCCTGGGCATATGCTAGAGAATTCTTAAGGAGAAATAACAGTTAAGTAACTATAAGTAATAAGACCACGAAGTGAAAATAAGGGGAGGACATGGAAAAATTAAATGAAGGAAGACAGAAATGAATGAGAAAAGTATGGAAAAGAAGGAGAGAAATTAAGAAAGGAAAAGGCTGTTTTATCTTGCTGCAACACCCTAACTCCTACTTTGCAAGAATTCAGCAGCAGGTTAGCTCTAAGCACAGGAATTTAGCCTAGGGTTTTCAGTACAAAGGCTCAGCTCACACAGTTTCTCTCCCCAAAACATCTACTCCTGATTTCCTTTCCCACCACCATCTTCCTTTTTTCCAACAGCCCAGTTCACAAAATGAAGGTGTCTTTTCTTTTGCATTCATGTTTGACTGAAGAAGCTGATCAATAAATGAAAGTAATGGAATTAAGTGCTAAATGAAGTAAAAAGGTAAAGATTTCCCTCGCTCGAACGTCAGTCAAATCCAACTCTATGAAAAGAAGAAGGATATTTCACCAATTTAAAAAACAGAAACTTGATATAATATGTATTCAAGAGATGCATATACGGAAAGCTGATGGAAAACATCTACATATAAAGGGATTAGGAAGAACTTTTATAGTGACAGATAGGGAGCAAAAGAAGAGAGGAGTAGCTATATTTGTAAGAGAATTCCAACCAGAAATCATATTTGCCTCCGAATATGGAAGAATATTGATGGTAGCAATACAAAGGCAAATGAAAAAAATGCTTATAGTGAACATCTATGCTCCGAATCAAAATCAAGAACCCTTTTTCAAAAATTTACAAAATATTATTACTCAACAAGAATTTCAAGAGATATGTCTAGTTGGGGACTTTAACGCAGTCTTCAATGAAGAAAAAGACAGAAAAATGAACTCCTATGGAAAAAAGAAAAGAAGAGGCACAGAGTTCCCTAAGACTTTAGGACTTCTTCTGTAAGAATTAAGTTTGGTAGATGCATGGAGGGTCAGGAATCCCATAACAAAGCAATTTACTTACTACTCAGCGAGACATGATTCCTGGTCCAGGATAGACATGTGTTGGATCACTACCACAGCCATTAAAGACCTCTTAGAAGCAGAAATACAAGCTGGAATTTATGCAGATCATAATCCTGTCTACTTGGAATTTCAAGAAACAAGACCAAAAAACAGATGGACATTAATATATCTATATATCTATATTGAAGAACGAAGGGTTTGTAAATAAATTGAAAGATGAAATCAAATTGTTTTTCAAAGAAAATATCCAGCCAGAAATATCACTCAATACTGTATGGGATGCATTCAAAGCTTTCCTAAGAGGCATTTGATCCAAGAATCTGCAAGAATTAATAAACAGAAGAGGCAAAAAAATAATAATTTGCAAAAACAAATACAACAACATGAAAAAATAATAATGGAAAAAGCAGTGACTACAAAATTAAAATCCAGACTTAGACTGCTTCACCATCAGATGAGCTGTTTACTTAAAGAAGAATTAGCTAAGAAACTATTATTTGTGAAACAAAACTTCTTTGAAAATGCTAATAAACCAACAAGATGGCTTGCCTATAAAATTAGACAACAAAAAGAAAAATCATATATAAAGACCCTGATTAAGAAAGATGGAACAGAAACAAACAAAATTCAAGAAATAAAAACAATAATTGAAGATTTCTACAAAACCCTGTATGGAAAACCAGAAAGTAATTCTGAACAGATTAAGAGATATTTGGAAACATTCCAACCAAAAAAATTCTCGGAGGAAGACAAGAATATATTGATTCAACCAATAACAATGATGGAAGTGGTAGAGGCAATAAAAAGGCAAAATAGAGGTAAAGCTCCAGGACCAGATGGCCTCCAGATAGAATTTTATATTATCTTCGAAGAACAGCTTTCATTGACCTTGAAAGACATTTGTAATAATGCCATGAAAGGTGGAGTAATCCCCGAAATTTGGAAAGAAGCAGTCATTACACTGATTCATAAACCAAACTCAGATGAAAAGGAAATTAAGAATTACAGACCGATTTCTCTATTGAATGTGGATTATAAAATTTTTGCATCTATATTAGCTGAAAGACTCAAAAGGTCATTGTCAAAAATGATACATAAGAACATAAGAGACGCCAATGTTGGATCAGGCCAAAGGCCCATCCAGTCCAACACTCTGTGTCACACAGTGGCCAAAAATACCAGTGCCATCAGGAGGTCCACCAGTGGGGCCAGGACATTAGAAGCCCTCCCACTGTTGACCCCCCCCCAAGCACCAAGAAGACAGAGCATCACTTGCCCCAGAGCCCCTAGCTATACCTTGTGGCTAATAGCCACTGATGGACCTCTGCTCCATATGCTTATCTAATTCCCTTTTGAAGCCGTCCATGCTTGTAGCACCCACCACTTCCTGTGGCAGTGAATTCCATGTGTTAATCACTCTTTGGGTGAAGAAGTACTTCCTTTTATCCGTTCTAACCCGACCGCTCTGCAGTTTCATGGAGTGCCCACGAGTTCTTGTATTGTGAGAAAGGGAGAAAAGTACCTCTTTCTTTACCTGCTCTTTCCCATGCATAATCTTATAAACCTCGATCATGTCACCCCTCAGTCGTCTTTTCTCCAAGCTAAAGAGCCCTAAGCGCTTTAACCTTTCCTCATAGGGAAAGTGTTCCAACCCTTTTATCATTCGAGTTGCCCTTTTCTGCACTTTTTCCAAAGCTATAATATCCTTTTTAAGGTGTGGTGCCCAGAACTGCACACAGTATTCCAAATGAGGTCTCACCATTGATTTATATAGGGGCATTATTATATTGGCTGATCTGTTTTCAATACCCTTCCTAATAATCCCCAGCATAGCATTGGCCTTCTTTATTGCAGTCACACACTGTCTCGACATTTTCAGTGAGTTATCCACTACAACTCCAAGATCTCTCTCTTGCTCAGTCTCTGCCAGTTCAGACCCCATCAATGTGTATTTATATTTAGGATTTTTGGCTCCAATGTGCATCACCTTGCACTTGGCCACATTGAACCCCATTTGCCATGTTGACGCCCACTCGCCCATCCTTGACAGATCCCTTTGGAGTGCCTCACAATCCTCACTGGTTTTCACCACCCTGAACAACTTCGTATCATCTGCAAATTTAGCCACTTCACTGCTTACTCCCATCTCCAAATCATTAATGAACAAGTTAAAAAGCAGTGGACCAAGTACTGATCCCTGTGGTACCCCACTGCTTACCACCCTCCACTGAGAAAATTGCCCATTTATACTCACTCTCTGTTTTCTATTAATTAGCCAGTTTTTGATCCATAAAAGGACTTGTCCTTTTATCCCATGATTTTTGAGCTTACTTAGGAGCCTTTGATGAGGAACTTTATCAAAAGCTTTCTGGAAGTCAAGGTAAACAATATCTATTGGATCCCCCTTGTCCACATGTTTGTTCACCCCCTCAAAGAACACTAACACTAAGATCAAGCTGGATTTTTGCCTAAAAGACAACTTCGAAACAATTTGAGATGCATTATAGACGTTTTGGAATATTATGAAATTCATTCAGAGAAACAATTGGCATTAATATTTTTAGATGCAGAGAAAGCATTTGATAGGGTCAACTGGACTTTTATATTTGAGTCACAAAAAGCGGCAGAAGCAGGGGGAAACTAAAATGATACAAGCGATATATACTAAACAGAATGCCACAGTGATGGTCAATGGAGAAAAGACAAAAAAATTCAAAATTCAAAGAGGAACGAGACAAGGCTGTCCCCTCTCACCATTGCTATTTATCTTCACAGTCAAAATACTGAATGATGTAATATGAGAAGAGAAAAGGATCATAGGTCTTAAAGTCAAGGGGAAGAATTTAAGCTCTTAGTATTTGCGGATGATATAGTATTTATACTTGAAAATCCTGAAACCTCTATCTCTATATTAAAAGGGAAAATACAGGCTTATGGCCATGTAGCAGGTCTGAAAATAAATATAGATAAGACAAAAATCCTAACCAAAAATATGAACTCAAAACAAAAATTACATCTGCAAGAGATCTCGGGATTTCAAATTAAAGATAGAATTAAATATTTGGGAATTATGATGTTAAAGAACTCTTAAAAACAACTAAACAAGACTTGGAAAAACGGAAAAGTTAACAGATCTCTTTTATGGGACGAATTGCACTTATTAAAATGAATATCCTCCCCAGGTGGATATTTTTATTCCAGACGATTCCTATACTACAGAACCAATTTTTTTAAAGAACTGGATCAAGTAGTTTCAAAATTTATATGGCAAGGAAAACGACCAAGAATAAGATTTAAGGCGTTGCAAGACACTAAAGAAAGAGGATTCGGTCTACCAAACTGGTTGTTATATTACAGAGCAGCGGCACTGGTATGGATAAAGGACTGGATTATACTAGAGGATGAGAGAATTTTAAAATTAGAAGGTCATGATCTCTTGCTAGGTTGGCATGCCTTTTTATGATATGAAAAGGCATCGTCACAGAAATACTTTAAGCAACATTGGCTGCGAGTATCACTTTTAAAAGTATGGGAAGCTATTTATTTATTTATTTATTTATTTATTTGATTTTTATCCCGCCCTCCCGCCGAAGTGGCTCAGATTTTACACAAAAAATTCAAGATTTATGGCTCCTATAGAAGACTTTACGCTTCCAAATGTATACCCTGGAAAAGAATATATCAAGATATATTAAATGATAAGAATGAATTGAGAGTACCAGATCACTTAACATGGTGGCATAAAGCTCAAATAGAATCTCAATTCTACAAAGATAGAAGAGTGGGATTTTATGAAAACTTGAAAAAATCTTGACGTCTTCGGATTCTAAGCTAATAAAAAGAACTTATAGTTTCATACTCAGTGATGTAATGTATGATGAGTGTTAAAACTAATATGGTGTTATGGGCACAAAATTTTGGTCACGATATTGATATAGCTCAATGGGAGCAAATATGGAAGTCAAATATTAAAATTACAAAAGCTATTACATATAAAGAAAATATGTATAAAATGTTCTATAGATGGTACATAACTCCTGATAGAATAACGAAATCAAATAGTAAATGCTCTAATATTTGTTGGAAATGTCAAAGTAAAATAGGATCCTTTTTCGATATGTGGTGGCATTGTTGTATTACTAAGAAATATTGGATATGGATCCATGAAATAATTCAAAAAATCTTAGGATGTGTGATACCATTTACACCGGAAGTATTGCTTTTGAGTATACTATCAAATGATTTTGATAAAAATCTTGACAGTTTATTTTACTACAACAGTGAGAATTTTATATGCCAAATATTGGAAATCAACTGAAGTACCAAAGAAACGAATATATCAATAAACTGATGGAAACAGCAGAAAGTGATAAATTGACTCTAATGATGAAAGGATCTAAAAATTACACATTTGATAAGGCATGGAAACGATTCTATGACTGGTATAACAAGGATATAACAGACTGAAGCAGAATGACTTATTGATAATACTTTTAAGAAAGTAAACATTGGTTTATAATTTTAAAAATGCAGCTTTAGATACAGAACTCAATGTATGGTATGTCTTCACAGAAGTGTTTAATATATTATAACGGAATATGAAGCGGTCTAGACTTAGAAGGCAATTTCACGATGGTTAAGTTCTTATATTTACCCTCATATATGTTATTTGTCGTATGTCTACTTGTATGTGTATTGTTTGTTTGGAAAATTAATAAAATCCTGTCCTTCGAGACAGTTAAAAAAAATAATCCAACTCTAAGGGGTGGTGCTCATCTCCATTCCCAAACCAAGGAGCCAGCGCTGTTTGGAGACTTCTCCATGGTCATGTTGCCAGCATGACTAAACACCAAGGCACATAGAACGCTGTTACCTTCCCACCATAGCAGTACCTATTTATCTACTTGCAATGTTCTTGCTTTCAGACTGCTAGGTTGACCGGAGCTGGGTCAGAGATGGGAGCTCACTCTGTCACACAGCACTAGGGTCTTGAACTGCCGAGCTACAGACCTTCCAATCTGCAGCTCAGTGTCTTAACCTCTGAGCCACCATGGCCCTGCTAAATGAAGTACTTCCCTTGAAATCAAGGCTTGGGAATACTAATTTGTAGAAAGAAGGAAAGAAGGGAAAAAAGAAGCCAGATTTAGTCTTCCATGTCCATGCTGTGTGCTAGCAGAAGGGGGGGGGGGGAAATAGCATGAACCTAAGGACTTTGAAGGCTTGTACCTGTAACGGCAAATAATTATGTTTCTCATTACATAGAATGTCAATACATAGTCAATATAAAGCAGCATCATATTTATTCACTTCATATATAACCTTCCTTTCTCAGTGTAGAATGGAACATATAAAAACAATTCAATCAGACCGCATAAGACATTCAAAAAGCAATGTGACAGGATTAGCATTACAAAATCAGACAGCAATGCAAACAAAAAAGTCTTAAACAATGCAAAATGCAGAAACCAACATTCTAAAGTGTATGATATGATGAATATTACAAAGTGTACTTACTTGAACCAGTGTCATAAAGTTCTAGTTCTATAGCAGTGCCAGATGCTGGTTCAACAGTGGCTGTGACATTTGCACCAATAACAGGCAAAAAACCCTGACTCACTTCTGCATAAATGATCATTGGATTAGGGTAGTTATTGGTATCTTTATTCAAATAGGACTTCACAGTCACTGGAGGCACAGTCAGAGACGCAGCTCGAGTGGTGACTGTCATCGATATGACTTGAGCTCCTGCTGTGTGTGTACTTTGGATTGCATAACTCCAGTCTCCTGCCTGCAAATCAAAGTTTTGCAATCACATCATCAGTCTCTAAGGCATTATTTTTTATATAAATTCAGCTTGTTTTTCTTTGCATACTATGTTTGACAAGAATGAGGTGATTTTTTAAAAAAGGCACTAGGAGCCGTGGGTAGCAGAGTCACATTGGAAGGGCATGGGACAAACTAGGGGATGAAAGCTTGATTCCCACTAGTATGATGGTATTCTCTGATCTACACTGATATTCAGCCCTAGAATCTCTGTGTTTCCACTTGATCTTTATCCTATGAACAAAATTAAAGAATAGGGTCTTGCTTCTCCTCCTAATCTTGCTCTTGACTGGTCCATATCAACTGTTCTGATGCTACTCTTTGCTTCTGGTAGAGACTGCTGCTGATGAAGAAAAGTCCCAAAGTAGCTTACAATCACCTTCCCTTCCTCTCCTCACATCAGATATCTTGTAAGGTAGGTGGGGCTGAGAGAGTTCTCAGAGAACTGTGACTGGCCCAAGGTCACCCAACAAGCTTCATGTGGAAGAGTGGGGAATCAAACCCGGCTTTGCAGAGTAGAGTCCACTGCTCTTAACCACTACACAATGCTGGCTCACAAGACTGCTGCAAGACTGTCCACATCTTGAATGAGATCTTCCTTTCATTGAAACATTCTACACCCTCAGGACCACTTTGATAATCTGTCTATTCAGATATATACCATGGACTGCCAAACTGCATCTAAAACTATTATATCAGAGTTCAGCTTCGAAAAGATAAAATAGTACATTAACCAGTCAAATGTAATATAAACTGCAATTTCAGAAAAGATCCTGTGTGAATGACTAGAAGAACTTATTACAGCCCTTGTGATTGCTTCAGGCTACATACCTTTATAAACACTAGAGTTCAGGTCTTTAGAGTTTCCTGCACTAAAAGGTTTTGCAACTGACTGGTCCACATTAACCTATTTTGAACACAATTTCTTAATCATTAGCATTGTAACATCACAGCTGATTTATAAACAGGACACTATTTTGCTTTGTGCAATGAAAGACAGTTTTTTTCCTGAGTTCAAATCCTGTCAGCAGATGGAGTCCATGAAAATGGACATCACTATCTCTCATTCTCAAGTCTTCACTTACACAAGGTTCTGTTTACGGCTGAAGATGGGCAGGGAAAATTTTTGCCGGCAAAATTTTTTCACGATGGAGATACTAAAATAGGGAAAAATGTACTGGCTGTGTTTATGTATGTCAGGTGGCTGTTGAGAACACAAAATATCTCTTAGAAGAAAAAGTGGCAACTTCCAAGTCACAATTAAATTATCTCTCTCAGTCAACCTCACAAGAAGATAAATGGAATAACCCCTGAATTTCTAAGAAATGTGACAGATAAAACAAGGAGGTGGGCCACTCACCTGTCTTACTTCACTGTGAGGCACACCAGTGGCCCATGAGAGAGGTGTTTGTTTGCCGTGAGAAAAATACAATATTTAAAGTTCACTGCAAGTGCCAAGCCCTACAAGTTTCCTTTTGCATCTCTGTATGATATACCACTCTAGGAACTGAGTTCTCAATAGAAAACTCCAGGCATACGTCTGATAAAATGTCCTCATGACAGCCATGAGGATTTTACAGTGTGTGAATTAGGCCTTTAGCTAGGTGAAGTTTGGGGAAACCAACTGTAGGCATTTCATGAATGTTGTGAGTAACCTTAAGCAGCCTTCCTTTCTCAATATGGCGGGGGGGGGGGGGGGAGAAAACAGTACTGAGAACGC